GAGAGAGAGAGAGAGAGAGGAACGTTCTCCTCCTACAGCTGTCCTACTCGTGATACCTCTCCCTCTCAAGCTCCCTCTCCTCCTTCTATCCCCTTCAGAATCTGTGTAGTACGACAGTTAGGCCGATTAGTATACATATTACATCCAAAGCACATAGTTGTCCAGGCAGTATCACAGCCAAGCACCGCGGGCGCTAACCTAGTATCAGTGATAAAGGGGAGATGACAAAAAAAGTTKAAAAAAAACGAAAGAAGTGAAAATTGGGAATAAAAAGGAAAACAGGGGAGTTGGTTGGGTCGTCCCAGAATTGATGAGATGTAAGCACTTGGGACCTATCTTTGTCTGCAAAGTGGCAGGGGAGTACTGCATTGGTCCGGATTCATCTTAGTACCTGAAAACTTGGCTGTACACCCCGTTTTCCAGCAGGTGAAGCTCCCCACCAATAGATGGAGCCTCCCCTAGGGTGATAGTGGTGACTGCTCTTAGCAGCATCACTATTTCTTTTTTTTTTTCTTTTTTTTTTTCCCGTGTGGTCCGATGGACCACGGATCAGATATTAAACTGATCAGAACAGATACTTCACGTGATCTTAGCCAAAACACCGAGAAAGGTATAGGCTCCATCCATTGGTGGGGAGCTTCACCTGCTGGAAACGGGGTGTACAGCCAAGTTTTCAGGTACTACGATGAATCCGGACCAATGCAGYACCCCTGCCACTTTGCAGACAAAGATAGGTCCCAAGTGCTTACATCTCATCAATTCTGGGACGACCCAACCAACTCCCCCCTCTTTTCCTTTTTATTCCCAATTTTCACTTCTTTCTGCTCTTTTGCTTGGRAAAAAAAAAAMRAAAAAAAAAACAGATATAAATTATGACCCAATTTACTGGTGGGCAAAAGCAAATTCTACAATGGACTGAAATCACTGGATAGTAATTAACACAGTTGGTGTAATTACAGTAAGAACTAGTTACTATACACTGTAGACAGTAMCTGTGTTGCTGCAAAAATAATTAACATAGTTTATGGTAATTACTAATCACTAATTACTATGCTAATTCCTAATCACTAATTACTATGGTAATTACTAATCACTAATTACTTATTTAGGAATAAGTCATTCCTAATTACTAATTTACTAGTTACTAATTCCAAAGTAGCGAGTACTAATTAGGAATTACTAAACATGTAGTAATTAGTAACGACCCAGCWTCCTGGCCGCTTCCTGGGATCGGAGCACAACACAGTAAACACACCGATAAATTGTAAGAGCTTTTCCTTTTGGGGACAAACCGATTGATGATCCGTCCCATTAATTGATTGATTACTTGATTGATTGATTGATTCATTCATTCATTCATTCATTCATTCATTCATTCATTCATTGGTTGGTTGGTTGATTGGTTGGTTGGTTGATTGGTTGGCTGGGTGGCTGGGTGGCTGGTTGATTGACGAATCCATTGATTGATTGATTGACRGACTCGAAGGTTGATTGGATTGTACATGCCTTGAATTTACTTTGTGCTTTGAGGGTCCCAAAATCTGTTCTTCCACGGCCTCTCCACWCCTCCTCGTCCTTTTGATCTGGACATAATATTTTCTCTYAGCAAAGCTAGTTACAGAGCTAGTACTTTCAATTGTTCTCTTTTCTGTTTGCTCGTTTTTCACGTTTTCCTGATTACTATGCTTTCTCTCGTTCTTCCTGACTGGCTACTGGTCACGGTCGCAGGTCAGCACCGTCATCGGCAATATGTTCAGAATGACAAGGAGGGCGCTGGTGTGGGCCATATGGGGGCAATTTTGCAAATTGGCAATTTGGCAAAGCTGCATTCTCGGGATGGAAGGGGCTACCGGGGGTTGGAAGGAGAAGAATCGACTGAGCAAATCAAGCATCAAGCAGCAAATTCAGTTGGAAACACCTTGCAACTGGTGAGCAGTAAGAAGTATGCTGGATGCCTGTAACACAACCAAGGACGTCAACAAAAAAAAATCACATTTTTTCTGCAGGGAGTGGTTAAAAAAAAAAAAAGAAAAAAAAAAGGTCACCCGGGAGGGTGGGTGGCAAAAGTGACTTGGAAGGGAGGAGAGGAAGGGCACCAGCAGCAGGAGGAAGGCGTTCAAGGCGGGCGTGGATTTTTTTTACGGAATATCAGCTTGTTTTTACTGACTGCCAGTGGACGAAAATAGATCCTTCCTCCCCCCTAAGACCCACATCTGATTAAATTTGCCCCCCTGAGGCCCACATATAATTTCCGCCATCTCTTCTTCCCCCTGCATAGTTGGTCCATAGCCGAACCAAAATGGCACGGCCTGTGATCGATCATCGAGGGGTCGAAACCCCTTTTGCCCCTCAGAGAGATGCAGCCTTCAGGCTGATCTGCAGKCTATGGAGAACAAACCATCTTCGATTCCCATGTTTCATGGACAGGTGTGGACAGAGCCGACGCCGGGTAATCACCCCGGTGATTTGAGAGTAAATTTGTTTTCTGATGGGACGCTCAACCCGGTTTCTTTTCCAGCAGGTGCCACTCCCCCCACCAATAGAAAGAAGCCATCTGCTCAGTGAGTACTTCTTCCCCGAGCTGCTCTTACCACTCGGCCAGTAACACGGGCGGATCTTCAAAGAAAAAAAAAAGAAAAAAAAAAGAGACTTGGAAAGCTACATCTAGGAGTCCCCATGAAGAAAGAATCAGGGTGATTGGATTATTGTTGAATTCACAGCTAGTTTCCTGGACATTCCTCTCTCTCTCTCTCTCTCTCTCTCTCTCTCTCTCTCTCTCTCTAAAAAAAAAAAAAAAAAAAAAAAAAAAAAACTACTTCTCTTTCCTTTCCGGAAGAAGGGCAGCAGCTCTGGTGCCGGCTTCGATTCCAGTCTCCCCCGATAAATTGTACATCTTTTTCGTTCTCTCCCTGCCCCTGCCCCTGGGACATTTTTCTTCTTTTCGTTCTTTTCGTTTTCACTGCATCAAAGTCTTCCTCTTTCTTTCTCGCTGAGCCTTCGCTTTTTCTCTCTCCATTGAAATTACTCATCTGCTTTTTTTTTTTTTTCCTCTTTTTCTTTTTCCTCCCAGTCCACCAAAGTTGCTCTTTTTTTTTTTTCCCGCCGTTCTCACTCCACCGAAATCGTTTTTTTCTCTTTGTTCTCTTTTCCCCCCTTCTTTTTTGCTTGTCGACCTTCAATATTTTATTCATAGTTTGAAAAAAATGCCCATCCGTTCCAAGTAGAGATGTTTGAGTTCAGCTAGCAGACCGGGAAGCYTGGCGTCCATCTCTCGATCCAACTCCTGTATCTGAACTTTCGTTCTGGCYGCCCTTTCGTACTCTTCTGCCCGTACAGCTTCCATCAAGTCTCTCCTAATCGAGACACCTCTCTCTCCCAATTCTCTCATCCGTCTAGACAGCGAGGCAAGCATCTGCAAGTCCCCTTCGTGTTCTCTAGCCATCGGGTTGATGAGCATGCGGTCCACAAAATCGGTATTGGCAGAGAAGACCGCCTCTCTCTCAAGAAAGAACGGCTGCTGGTACCGAAGAGCTACGGCTATGGCTTGAGGGAACGTGGACGGTACGATGGTGACACGTGTCGTCTTTTCGTCAAGCACGRCGAACTCCCCCCCAGTCTTCTCGTCATCGAATCCGGTCACGTAAATGGACTGCAGATCGTGATCACACAGCCGATCCAATTCTTCCAAGGCATGAGGAAGGCCGCCCCTGTCCAAAGCCTCTCGAATGCAGTCGAAGCTGAGCTTGTTGAGGAAGAGAGGGAACTCCCTACAAGATTTACTGAGTCCTTTGTTCTTCTCCGTGCACAAAAGACCTACGATACAACCATGGCTAACCTTATGAATACTAGTGGCCATAACTTCGAAGAACTTTCGTCCATTCGGCCTAACCTCAGCATAAACTTGCTTGTCCTTCCCCTCCTTCTCCTCTTGTTCCCCTTCCTGCTCCTCCTTCCTCCCCTCCTCCTCCTCCTCCTCCTCCTCCTCCTTCTGCGCCTGATGCTTACTGAGCTTGAGCAGCGGGGGCGGGGCGTTATCCTTTAGTGGTGGGTTCGCCTCAGCAGCGGCAAGCGCTTCGGTCTGCCGTCCATCCTCTCTCACAGACACCCGCCGACGCTCTCCCAAACCTCTTTCTCCCATTCCCGAATTCGACCCTTCTTCATCTCCTTCCGCCTCTCCTACCGGCCCATCCCCGCCGCATGACACCCTGATGATAATATTATCCGCCCGTGCAGAAATGCCACGCGAGGCGGTCTGTGTCGGTCTGTCACAGCCACTGACCATCCCCCCCCCACCCGTCCTGCTCACGGCACTTGTGAACTTTGCCCCACCTGGGGTGGCAGATGTCCATGGGCCGAACCAGGTCCTTGCGCCYGGTGCAAAACGTGTCCGACTGGCGACCGGYGTCCTTAACGTCCCCGTCATCGTCGGGGTCACTCCTCCTCCCACTCCAGATCCCCGATCTCCCCTTTTCTCCCCTACCCACAGGCCAATGCTGGTAAGCCCTCGCCCACATTCTCCTTCTAGCTTGGCCCCACGTGGCGCCGCYAGCTCCAGACGCAGCTCTGCCCTGCCATGATGTGGACCACCACTCAGACCTGGCCATATGACAGAAGGAAGCTGGTCTAGGGGCGTGACTGGGTGGGATCTTTCGCTATCGCTAGCGGCAGTACTCGCCGATAAAACGCCCCATAGCAGTGCATTCTTTGCCGTTTCAGAGCCCAACCCAACACCTAACGCTGAACCCGATGACGAGAGGAATCGTCGTCCCTCAGCAGCCGCCCACACCTGCTCCTTGCCCGCGAGGCCACCAGCGCCACGTGTCATTCCTGCGCTCCATCTATGCGCACCGGTCCTTCTGCGGCCGCAGCTGTCACGTGTCTCACTGAAGGGAGGATACCTCCTCCCGAACCTAAGCCCACACCTCTGGCCTTGGATTTGTGGTCCCCACCACTCCGTGGGATCCGACCGGGCGATTACAACGAGACGGGCGGACAGACGCGCGCCACAGCAGCGCTGGGCGGCGCCCGGAGGTCCTCCGGCTCTCATCTTAAGTGCCAGCCATGGTTGGAGCTTGCAACAGCAATGCGATGTAGATGAAGATGACGACGACGGTGATAGCGATGGCRGCGATGGTGATGGTTGACACGTCCACGTGGCCTTAAACACTGGTGCTGACGCCAGCGCCATATCCACACCGACGATGGCCTAGTGTCCAGACGTTTGTTACGTCATCCGTCTCGCTACGCCGGTAGTACGACCCGAGCCTCAAAATGAGTCYGYCSKACATGGGTGCAAGAATGCGGGCGACACGTGGCAACCTCTCCCAGGGCTTGGTTCATACCGCCCTGCGGCTGCTCGAGCACAACCATTAGCGGATGAAGTTTGCGGCCTGGCCCATGATCCTGACCCGAAATATTCCACGTGGACCAACKGTGCACCCATGAACCGTTGATACACGGACGTGAGCTCGAATCCAGCGGAGAGGTCCCCTAGCGTTGGGATAGCATCATGCTCTAGCTGGCGCAACGGTGTGTGGCACTGTGGCGACGGGTGTGCGGAGACTTTATTTTTATTTTATTTTTTTTATTTTTTTAAAGGCCGGAGATATTATCATTGAGCTGACCGGCCCCAAGCAATTCATTAGTAGTTGGTTTTACTCGTCAAGTTCCATCATCTGGATTCGAACACAGGTCTMTATTTCAACAGTTCATGGGTGTACCCACTGASCTAGGCTCTTGGGTTGTGCGGAGACTTTATCAATAGTGGAAAGGTACAATYYACCAGTACTCGGCCCATACATMKGCCCCAGGCCCTTGTTGTATACGGGCCTACCGGACATAATGGCTGGCAGCGCCAGGCAAAAGAAATAAAAGAAGCCTCTCAGGTGAAATGACCCTATAAGACCTCACAATTCGAGCCCCAAAAAAAACSGCGGGGGTCCAACCGGAACGCTTCTGCCGGCGCTGTTAGCGCTCRGACCAAGTTGCCGGCAACGGCTGTGTGCCTGGCCGCGGGACATACCATCAGATATGGCTGCGGTGGATCGGAGCACCGTCACCTACTGTTTGCAGTAGGTCATAGCCCAAGGTGGAGCTATGGAGGTTGCTCGAGCAGGTCACCCGCGAGGACCCTAATTTCGAGTTTGAAAGTCAGTTCTCCCTCGTCTTAGGTTACTATAACTGAGAAATTTCCCGTCAGCCAGAGATAGGGTTTTTCTTAGACGTTCTATAGAGAGCTTTTTCTGTTAGCTTCTCGCACGTCGAACAAGGAAGGTGATTTGTCGTGTTTCCTATGGAGGTGGAGAACGCACCGAGGGAACCACGGTCCCCTCCTAGTGCTCCTGATGAAGAAAGAGAGGATGCAGACCGCTTGAAGGAACTCTTTTGACTTTGTTACTATGAAGGTATTATGCCCTCAGACATTGACCCGGGCGAGATGACGATTGAAGGYCGAGAAGCTAGATTTAAAGTTAATGTGACTCTTGACCAAGCCAAAATCAATTGGYTGAAAGAGCACACGGTAACTTTTATCTTTCGGGCTGGGGCAAGGTTCTTACCTAGAAATGTCAAGGAAGATATTGTTAGAGCATACGAGGATAACAAAGTGGCGGAAGGAAGTTTCGTGTCGGAGTCATTTCAGAGAGGTAGAGTGAAGATGGAGTCTCCAAATGTGGTGTCCTATGTGGCAAAGTCCTTGGAAATTGCTAGATGGCTAGTTCAGAAAGGAAGCGATGAACTCACCATGGGAGCAAATACGTACGGCTTCGATTTCAAACCTTGGCTGACGAAGGCTCAGTTAAGACAGCAAAGACAAGTGGAGGACGAGAAAAAATTCTGGGTTATTGTCGTGCAAGTTCCTTTGGACGCTTTTCTTTACTTGGAGGCTCAAGTTCGACGTGCCATAGGCCAAGTGTTGCGTGCGTATCCTCCAGAACAAGATCGTATGCGTCCTGCGCTGGTCAATATCAAGTTTGACATTGATCCAGTCGCAAGGGGAAATATGAAGGATAAGCTCTGGATCGACATGTCGGAAGGCGATACGTTGGAAGTCAAGCTGGCCTCGTCACAGACTCCAAGGTGTAGACGTTGCGGAGCCTTCTTTCATTCCGAAGAGGAATGTAGGAGAGGTCCTCGTCAGCAGCAGGCGAATGGAGAATCTTCGGGCCCGACTCATCATCAAGTCTGGAACCTACGGACAAGACAATCAAGCTGTTTCCTCAGGTTTCCACGCAAATCCTGCTTTTACTCAGCCGCTTGGAGGACACATAGTGGGGGGATCAAGCTCCATCCCCCCCCCTGGTTTGTCGCCCTTCTCTCAAGCGCCTTCTTCCTTGGGATTCTCGACGCGGGACAACGCAACGTTTTCTCCAAGTCAACAGGTGATTCCTAATTATGCTCAGGCGTCAGGTACCTTCCCCCAGGGAGGGCTGCCATGGAACATGCCTTCGATAATGCCGTGGAATATTCCATCATATCTATATGGCATCCCCTCAGGGCTGCCTCAGCCGTCGGCATTTGTCCCAGTCCGACCAGGTTAACAGGGGATTGAAGCAGCCTTATCGACTTATATGGACCAACCCCCTGCGACGAGACCAGTGGGAGCGAAACCAGGGCCTTCTCATGAAATATCGAGGACGTCAATGACAATGGAAGTCCTTTGTACTCCATCGAGATCAGGAGCAGCACGAACCCTCAGCTTAGGAGGAGAACCTAGCACCTCCAGAGTTCATGCAAACGCACAAGGGAAACAGCGAAGATTGGATCGAGAAGGAAGCTATGCTTCAGGAGGAGGGAGATTGGAGGCAAAACTTTCAAGTACTTCTTCACAAGGTTTTGATAATTGCACAGTGATTGGCACCCTAGGAACCACTGGCAAGACCTCAAGATGAAGAAAACCCATCTCACTCGTGAAGGGTTAACTTCCAGACATTGAGAATAAGATCCTCCCAATCTCTTGTGCTGCTGTAAGAGATTCTTATTGGATGATTTCCTTCATCAGCCCGGATGGTGCCCCAACTTAATTAAGTGTACCCGCTCCTGATACCCTGATGCCAACAGCGGTAGCTACGCTAGTACGTACAACTATTCAAGGTAAATTCGATTTCCGGCTAATCCCCGATATTATTTTGGTGAGGTTAATTGTGGATCATCCCGTGCAGGCCGACAAAAGAATAAAAAAAAATTTNGTGTCGGAGTCATTTCAGAGAGGTAGAGTGAAGATGGAGTCTCCAAATGTGGTGTCCTATGTGGCAAAGTCCTTGGAAATTGCTAGATGGCTAGTCCAGAAAGGAAGCGATGAACTCATTCCGAAGAGGAATGTAGGAGAGGTCCTCGTCAGCAGCAGGCGAATGGAGAATCTTCGGGACCGACTCATCATCAAGTCTGGAACCTACGGACAAGACAATCAAGTTGTTTCCTCGGGTTTCCACGCAAATCCTGCTTTTACTCAGCCGCTTGGAGGACACATAGTGGGGGGATCAAGCTCCATCCCCCCCCTTGGTTTGCCGTCCTCCTCTCAAGCGCCTTCTTCCTTGGGATTCTCGATGCGGGACAACGCAACGTTTTCTCCAAGTCAACAGGTGATTCCTAATTATGCTTAGGCGTCAGGTACCTTCCCCCAGGGAGGGCTGCCATGGAACATGCCTTCGATGATGCCGTGGAATATTCCATCATATCTATATGGCATCCCCTCAGGGCTGCCTCCGCCGTCGACATTTGTCCCAGTCCGACCAGGTTAACAGGGGATTGAAGCGGCCTTATCGACTTATATGGACCAACCCCCTGCGACGAGACCAGTGGGAGCGGAACCAGGGCCTTCTCATGAAATATCGAGGACGTCAACGACAATGGAAGTCCTTTGTACTCCATCGAGATCAGGAGCAGCACGAACCCTCAGCTTAGGACGGGAACCTAGCACCTCCAGAGTTTATGCAAACGCACAAGGGAAACAGCGAAGATTGGATCGAGAAGGAAGCTATGCTTTAGGAGGAGGGAGATTGGAGGCAAAACTTTCAAGTACTTCTTCACAAGGTTTTGATAATTGCACAGTGATTGGCACCCCAGGAACCACTGGCAAGACCTCAAGATGAAGAAAACCCATCTCACTCGTGAAGGGTTAACTTCCAGACATTGAGAATAAGATCCTCCCAATCTTCTGTGCTGCTGTAAGAGATTCTTATTGGATGATTTCCTTCATCAGCCCGGATGGTGCCCCAACTTAATTAAGTGTACCCGCTCCTGATACCCCGATGCCAACAGCGGTAGCTACGCTAGTACGTACAGCTATTCAGGGTAAATTCGATTTCCGGCTAATCCCCGATATTATTTTGGTGAGGTTAATTGTGGATCATCCCGTGCAGGCCGACAAAAGAATAAAAAAAAATTTNGGTAAATTCGATTTCCGGCTAATCCCCGATATTATTTTGGTGAGGTTAATTGTGGATCATCCCGTGCAGGCCGACAAAAGAATAAAAAAAAATTTCCCCCTGCTCGRTGTCCGATTTGCAGAAGGTGAGTTGGAGGCTTTGGAGCAAGAAGGTCTCCACCTCATTCYGCTAGCATGGATCACARAGAAACGAAGGCAGGAGCTCTGCYGGGTGAAAATCCCCCCTCTGAAATCGGCGGAATGTTTGTTGGAACTGGAGAGCCGGCTTCCGAAAGATAAAAAGCTYGGCTCCCAATTCCTCCACTCCCTTCTCCTCGGAACTTGGCCGATTGAAATTCCTTCCTCTCCTCTAACCCGAATCCAACCGTCTTTGGAGATTAGGGCCGCCACATGCGCAAAATTAATTATCTGAGTTGGAATATGAGAGGGTTGGGGGACTCGTCGGGTAGATTTAAGAAGGAAAGGTTGAAAGCCTAAATCCACTCGGAAAATATTCGCATTGCTTGTCTTCAAGAAACTAAGTTAAGCRAAGAAAAAATCAACTCCCTCAGGAATTGGTGGGATGGCCCGCAATTGTGGTCTCCCGCCACAGGCTCTAGGAGAGGAGTGGCGATCCTAATTCATCGTAAGCTTGATGCTGAAATTGTGGATTACTACTCTGATTTATATGGGGACGATGGGCTTGGATCAAACTATGGATTCACGATCGATACTGGCTGATAGCCTGTGTGTACGCCCCAACGGATCCCTCATCTCGTCGCTCCTTTTTTGAAGACTTGCTTTATGTAATTCCAGAGTGTGATCAGCTTATTGWGGCTGGGGATTGGAATCTTTCGTTACATATTTCTAACCACGTGCAACYMTCAGAATGTCCTAGGSACAAACTTGCCYTAAYAMGCTTAATGAATTCCTTGGACTTGATTGATCCCTTTCGTCTGACTCATCCTGATAGTGRCGGTTTCACGTGGGTCTCAAACCCAAGACAGTCCGGGAGGGTAGTRAGTCRAAGACTCGATTATTTCTTGATCTCACATAATTTATGGGAATYAGTCCTCTTGGTATCARAGAAATCTAATYWTTTTTCTGATCACAAACCGGTTCATTTTTCGATGCTGTCTTCGGCCCTGACAAGAGGGCGAGGCCTATTCAGATTTCACACGCAGAATTTGGCGATGAGGGCTTGGTSGAGTGGATGAGAAAATTTTGGGCCAGTTGGAAAGAAACCCAAGCGAAATTCAAATCTTTTGCCGATTGGTGGGTAGCGGGATYTCRTAKTTTTTCCAATTTGCTTTCGRTGTTTTCACGAATAATGGYTGCTAAMCGTAGTCATCAGGAGCTCTGCATTCAACGTAGAATCGAATACGCAGAAACACGTATGGCTGCTCATCCGGTATCCAATAGAAAAATTCCCGCGAGAAATGAAAATTRAAAAAAYATTCCATAAAAAAAAAATCCTTCAWATTAATAAATTATCATTYCAATRTTTGTCAAAWKCTAAAATTTCCARTTTTATTTGACAAGTTCCCGTCTTCTAACTACATCTATTTGTTCAAGTTGGAATGAWAGTCYKGACGAGTTTATGAAATRTTTTAATTAAACTTTYATTCTACTACAACAWATATKTTYTAATTTAGATTGGATTAACTTATTTATGACTGAAAATCCTTAYTWAGAATGACAGTCCAATTAAAATATTTCATRAACTCATCTAGACTTTCATTCCATCTCTARCATGCAGYTCAAATAAGAAGGGATACCCCATTCTTGGAWGRAAAATTYTCAAGTAAGACGGGAAATTTTRAAACTGGAATGACATTTTTGAAGATGGAATGAAAAYTTAAAATTTAGAATGTAATTTTACTATAGAATGAATATTTAATTCYGRGAATTTTTTTWKTTGTCTAATTTGATTTGGAGCAAGAARARAGTCCTACTCATGTCTGAGTGGGACGATCTGGAAAAGAAGAAGTGCGAAACTTKGGCAGATAGACTGCAAATCAAAGGAATTACGGTGTATGAYCGTATGACGAAGGAGTCCTTTCAGAGACTYCTTCCTCRTCGTATGGCAGTCCCCATGCGTGAGTTGAGCCATCCATTCGATCCCGGTGCTCCAAGAGCCAAAGARCCRATGGAGATATGCAATTATGCAGCTTTATATTATAAAGACATCCTCATCTCCCGCCTCCAAGGAGCAGAAGTCGAAGATGACTTAGGTCAGAGGTCCGACCATTGGTTGAACACCAAGGTAAGATTGCCCACCTGTGCGAGGTTAGATCTTGATCGCCCAGTAACACTGGAGGAAGCCTACAACGCCCTGTTATCTATGTCTACAGGGAAATCCCCAGGAGACGACAGGATCCCAGTTGAGTTGTATACAACAGAAAAAAATCCCGTCTTAACAGTTATGTTTTTATACACCCTTGTGTGAAAAATGAGTTGACTATATTAAGTAACAACAGTTCTTAAACACACACCGGTTTTTAACCTTGACCGATAAACACACATGTGTTAAACCTTACTTCAACACAAGAAACGTTCACGACTTCGCTGCAGGCTTCCAAATCAATATAACAAACATTTTCCAACGTTGTTCCAACGTTTGATGATGAGTTAAGTCATTTGTGGTTATACTGTATCTCTAATATGCGCGAACGTTTGAGAGTTTCTTGCTTAACTTATTGCAATGTTTGAGCAACATTGAGATATCGTACTGAAAAAAAAAATATCGTTTAAAAATAGTTCGAACTTTCATCGAGACAATCAATGTAAATTTGTCGCGACACTTGTCCTTCCTTCTCTCTCTCTCTCTCTCTCTCTCTCTCTCTCTCTCTCTCTCTCTCTCTCTTTGTGTGTGTGTATGTGTGTTCCACAATATGTATTTATCGTTATATGACATGACGAATCGGCGTCTAAATATGGTCATTTTTTTTTCTCGTGAAAACCTCTTAACTAATACAAATATCATAATTATCAATACTTTCCTCGGCAAAATAGACATCCGTCACACACTTTTCATTCTACCTATTACATTCAGTCTACAATGAGGCGCTTTAAACATGACCATGAATGTCTGTTGTCCGCTGAACAAAAACAAAAAGTGCACAACAATTGACACATTCCATAGTCGTCTTTGGTGTTCATTCACCCCAATTGGCATAGCAATACACACCTATAACACATGTTTGCAAAATCCTGTCGTCGTACAAAGCTCACATTATATCGAACACGTCTCCTTTGTTTGTTTCCTGCCTCTTTCTATATACCT